GTATTCAAAGCAAACTATATAGATAGCTTCGGTATATTTCACTGATTTGTATAAAGGGGAAGGTAATTGGCCAGCGTTTGTGAGAACATGAAAACGAATTGTTGACTTTCTTTAAATATGAATAAGCAATTTGCACAAGCATGAGAACATGCTATAAGCAAAGCAACAACAACAGCAACAACAACAACAACAACAATGTTAGCGCGATTAACTTAATTGCGGTCGCAACAAATTTTAATTTGCGGCTGAAACTTGAGGTTTGCGCTTAGCAGAATGCGTCAGAGCTCCCGACTCGACACATCAATGTCAGCTTAGATCGCACCACGCCCCCCCATGCTCGCCCTGAAATAGAACTGTACGTGAAGCGTTTGTCGTGAGCCGTGAGCGGTACGTCTATTGGTTGCCCATCAGCCTTGGCTGAAATTCCCCCTAGTGGGGGCGTGCGTGACGTCCGAAGTGCCCATCGATCTCGGACTCAAACTCGAGCAATGCCAGCGGTTGCCGCTCCAGTACTAGGCCGGACCGGGCTTAGCCTAGCCCTAAACGATTTGCCTGTACTTGAAACAGTTCCAAGTGCATTCAATAAAAAAAAAAATCCAATAATGAGACAAAAACAATTAGCAATGAAGATCATTATCGTGGTAGCGCACACAAGTTCAGTTAAGCAAATAGTTAAGAGTTTAATATGTATGCTAAGTAGCAGTATTTAACTAAATTCAGAATAGAGCTAGTGTTATCGTAGGCCTCAGACAAGGCTGGGAAAAAATTGTGTGATCTTTTCAACACATTTAAAGAGTCCAAGTTTTAGAAACTCAATTGATGTCGATATAAATTATGATAATGATGATGTCATCATTAAATTATACTAATAGAATTGTTGATGGTGATAATGGTAATGATAATAATAGCAATTCTATTAATATTAAAAAATGTTGATGAATGATACTGATGAGGTAATGATAACTGATGATGATCATGATAACTATATTAATATTAATGATGCATAATGCTGATTATGGAGAAGCTAATAATGCAGCGAGTCATCGCCATTGTTGATTAGACAATGATAATGCGGCTTATAATGCTAATGCTAATGCTAATGATAATGATAATGATTGGGTTTGCTATAATTCGTATTCTAATGAACCTTTTCAATGCTTACGCTGCGTATAGAGAATTGGAGTAATGCCAGCACACTAGCTCTTATCAGCTGTTGTCCACGAATGCAACTAAATGAGCTTTACGAGAGGCCCAGCTTCTGATTTTATACTTTCACCCCCAGTAAGCTGAGAACAGCTGTTGGCTCTAATCAGAAACAGAGTGAGTCCAAATGCGACTGACTCAGAATGGTGCCAGCATATATGAGATGCTGAGAATTGCATAGAAGAGCGCCGAGTTGATCCCATACACTCAATGTCCCATATGGAAAATCAGTTTGCCAAAAAATACATTTATTTGTCTAATAAACAATATTTTGATTTTTATTGACCATTTTTTGTTGTGTTATGATTTTGCTTTTGTTGCTTTTCATTTGTTTAATTGCTAATTGCATTTGTTACTTTCACTTCTCATTAGCATTATTGAAACATTTTGTTGAGGAAAAAAAAAATACGTTTTATTTTTATTTTCTTCTTCTTCTTTGTTTTGGTTTTTTTTGTATAGTTTTTTTTTTTTGTTTTGTTTTGCGATAAACATCGACCACGGCCCGTGGTAAATGTTAAATGGGCGTGGCACACAAATTCAACTTGTTCAATATGACAATAATAATAATAATAATGACAATAATCATGACAATTATAATAGTAATGAGTCGGGAATGCGCATGGCATTCACACATACACTCGCACAGGCATTTAACTATTTGGGGAGATAATTTGGGAAACAAATTGCGATATTGAGTTTTCTTTTCATTTTCATTTGCGTTTGGCTACAGGCTACAATTAATCGATAACATTTGTTTCAAAAACCATAAAATTTTGTTCATTTACTCATCGTATTATTAGTTTTCTGTTTTTCTTAGTTTTTGTTTTTGTTTTTTTTTTTTATCGTTACATTTTTTGTATATTGGTATTTACTTCTTCAGGCATTCTGTGTGTGTGTGTGTGTGTGTGTGTGTTTTGTTTTTTACTGTTTATGTGTGTTTTGTTTCAACTGTACCCAACACTTGTGCCGATATTTGCTCCACTTTACTGACTATTGTACAAATATATGAACTTTTTTTGGGACTATTCCTTGTTTCTTTGTTTTTCTTTTATCTATAGAAATATATATATGTAAATTTATATATAATTATATATATATATATATGTGTGTGTATATATACATATATATAAATTTATATATATCCATATATACGTATGTATATAGTAAATTTATTGTATATGTATTGTAGAATTGGCCAGTTGTGCCCAATATGTGTGTGTGTGAGGGTGTACTTGCATGTATGTGTTTATGTGTGTGTGTGTGTATTGATGTTTCATTATGTATAATATATATGTATATGTATGTATATATGTATGTATGTATAGGGTATACAAATATAATTCGCATTATTTTAGGCTACGTTGTGGCTTTCTCTCTCTCTCTTTCCCTCCATTCCCCTCTCTCTTTATTCGCTCTATATGTATACCTCATGGCTGTAATTGAATTCATTTCCCCTGCATTTGAATACATTGTGCTGCACACCTATATATATACCTATATATATGTTTGGTATACATGTTTCATATGTTTGCAATGCTCCCTATATATAGTATATATATATATATGTATTGTACGTCTGTATATCTGTCTGTTTGTCTGTGTGTGTGTGTCTGTGTATCTATGTTTACTTTTAACGCTTCCTATTGCTAACCTATCCAAGCCACACTTTGTTTTTTTTTTTCTTTTTTTTTTACTTTCCTTTATGCCCTTTACGTTCTCTACTTTCCTACATACATCGATATACATATAAATATATATGTATATACACATATGCATATGCATATATACATATATGTAGCTCATTGATACGCCTACTGCAGTCCGCCTACTTTTTGGTAATATGTATGTTCTATACTATTTAGTATGCCCGCTACTAGTTTTCTTTTACTGCTGCTTTTCACACCTGAAATTCTTGCAGATAAAACAAAAATTTATGCAATTATTCTTAAATAAAAGTATTCTTGATCGTTTTTATGTTTAAATTAAAATTAAATATGAAATACTAAAAATTGTGTAGCATTAAAAAATAAAATAAAATGAAATAATAGTGGAAATTATTATGCTCAAAATATATTTTATTAAAATAAATGTATAAAAAAATCTTGGATTATTCAAATGCTGAAATCTGTTTTAAAATAATTTCAATTTTCCTATTGAACATTGAATATTGAAAAATTTTATATTCTGCTGAAAATATTTTTTAATTCTCAACCAAATTCGAATCATTAAAAATATTCTGCTGAAAGAAAATAAATAAATAATTAAAACAACAAGCTTTTTAACAAATTAGGTAAAAGAAATGTTTGAATATATATATAATTTTTTTTAAATATTTTAAAGTAGTAAAATAAATAAAATAAAAAAAAAAAAAAAAATGTTTACATACCCATTAATAGGTATCCTATATTATTCTGTACTTATTTAAAAAAAAAAAACAAAGCTGCCTTTAAAAATATTTCAGCTCAAAGTATATATAATTTTTAAATCTAAAAAATTTTTGAAAATTTATATATATATAATCTATAAACAAATTTAAAAAATTCTGCTCACAATGCATTTGAATAGAAATATTTTATATATTTTCTTAACAAAAAAAGTTCATAAAAACGCCATATCCAAAACTTGTATTCCAACAAAATCATATTTTATAATATAAAATATATATTTGGATAAAATGTATATATATAAATATATATATATATATATATATATATATATATAGCTGAAAAATTCTAGGAAATCGGCATAAACATAAAACGCTTTGGTTCGATTAAAAATGTATTTTTATTATGGGATTTTGTTTTGATAGCAAACAAAATACAAAAAAAAAAAAAAAAAATTACAAAAAAAATAATGATAATATATATAATTTATAGATAATACACAAGTGCATATATGTAGTTGTGTATGTATGTGTGTGTGTGTGTATTCGTGTCTAAATTAGGTGCATAAATTATATTGTATTTGGTATAAAACAAATTATTCTCAAACTAAGAGCGCTAAGCATTTATTACAATTAAATAATATGTAAAATATATAAAGATTTCTATATATGTATTATATATTAAGGTTTAAAGTACATTTTTTAATGTATGTGACTTGTTGTTGTTGTTCTGTTCATTAAGGATTTCTGTAGCTTAACTTTATAGTAGTACATGCATCAAATGTATAAATTATATATTTGTATATATATTTGTATAAGTGTGTGTGTGTGTGTTCTTAAGTTGGTATAAAAAAATAATATATATATTTAGTATATATACTTAATTTGGTCTATATATTTATATATGTATATGTGTGTAAATTAAATTTGTTGAAGAAATCAAATTTCTCAAAGTATTTTGCTCAATATAAAATTAAAAACAAAAAAAATATATCTTTGCTGTTTTTTTTCCATTTTCTCCACTTTTTTCTTTTCGCTTACAAAAACTAACAACAAAAAAACCAACAGCTCGTAGAATTGTGTTCAGTTTTTTCTTTTCCTCTCTTCTCTTCTTCTCTCTTCTCTTCTATCAACTCTCCTCAATATCTGTTCCCTTCGTTTGTTGCAGAAGTCGCCAGAGTCTGTGCGCAAAGTGTTTGCCTGAGCATTAGTTAATTATGTTTCATTATTATTTGTTTTTTTTTTCTTTTTTTTTTGAATAGAGTAGAGTTGCGGAAATAAGCATAAGTAGATGAGTTAACAAATCATAAAAGCATATACACATTTAGAATAATAAGGAGCTGAAACAAGATTGCTGACTAAACTTAAGCATAATAAATACATTTAACTTAATAACAAGTGGTGTGTGTGTGTGTGTAATAAATAAGGAGTTATGTAATACACAAAAGATTTGCTTGAAATTCAACTGCGTGTGCTCCAACCAATTCCCTTCATTCATTCTCCTCTCCCCATTTTGGTCGTCCGTATGTGTCTGTGTGTGTTTGTGTGTGTGGTCTCGGCCAGTTGGTGGCCTTCATCCTGGCCCGGCGCTAGCTGCAGACCAGCGCATTCTTCTGCGGCAGCTTGAGCAGGCGGCGCGTGCGGAACTCGTAGGCGCGACGACAGAACATCACCAGCTCCGGATTGGTCTGGTCCGGCACGGTGCGCACCGGAAAGCAATTGCTCGTATTGGTGCGTCGCGGCACAATGCTCACATCCTCCACATCCTCCTCGGCGGCGCGCAGACGTCGTCGATATCTGCACGGGGTGCGAATGGCATTGCCATTAGTGAATTAGTGAATCCCAATTGCCAACGGGCCAACACTCACCTGCAGTACTCGCTAAAGGTCAGCACGTAGCACTTGTCCTCGATGCAGGCCACCGAATTGTGATCCCGATGCCGCGATGCGTATACCTCGTCCGGGCAGTCGTTGCGCTGCCGGCCCTGCTCCGTGTGCTCGGGCCGATAATACCACAGCAGCGACATCATCATTTCGCCTGGAAAGCAGACAAAATTAATTAAGCATTCCGTTTCATGAACCAGTTTATTAAACTAATTTAGTATTTTTATAGACATTAATTAAAACTAAAATAGAACTATAAATGAAAAATATATACAAATTAAAAATCAAACTAAAATGAACTATAAATAAAATATTTATATATTAAAATAAAAATTAAAACTAAAATAAAATATAAATGAAATGTATACAAAAAAAATAAAAATTAAAATTAAAACTAAAATAAAATATAAATGAAATGTATACAAAAAAAAAAAAATAAAAATAAAAATAAAAAATATAAATAAAATTATAACTAAAAAATATATACATAAAAATAATTATGAAAATTCAAACTAAAAAAATAATTATAAAAATGCCAATTAAAATTAAAATTTAAACTAAAATACAAATGTGAATAAAAATAAAAATATAAAACTAAATTAAAAATTCAAATTAAAAATATAAAAATAGAAATAAAATCAAAAAACAAATATGAAAGTTCAAACTAAAAATTATAAAAATAAAATAACAATTAAAATTAAAATTAAAACTCAAATAAAATCATAAATAAATATAAAAATAAATGTATAAAAATAAATATAAAAATTCAAATATAAAAATGTAAAAATAAAAATAACAAATAAAATTAAAGTTCAAACTAAAAATATTTAAATTTAAACCAGTTGGTTCATCTGATGATATTATATTTCTAGGCTTAAACTAGTTAAAGTTCTCTACATATGCATGAACCAGTTCATTGTTCAAACTCAAATAGTATCTCTATCTCAATCGATTGATCCTCATTGCAATTGAAGATATTTGATTAATGAACTAGTTCCGTTTGGAGCCCATTTGAGTGCATTACTGCTCAATAGAGCTGTAGAACCCCACTGAGAACTATTTGAGGCTTACCATCCTCGGGATTCTGCCATAGATGCGCCACCTTGGCCACATAGGGCAGTTCGTTGTCCTCGTTGGCCTTCAGCAGGACACAGTCGCGCGTCCGTATAATATCCCCCTCCACATGCCGCATGGCCGGATAGCAGGTGCGCAGCACCCACGGATCATCGCTCTAGAGAGTGAGAGAGAGAGAGAGAGATGCTGTCATTGTCAAGCTCAAACTGAACTACAGTACACACTCACATTGAGAAACACTCGATGCTGAAAGGCCTTGCCCGCCCACATCCAGCCGTTGTTCCACTTGGGCACCACATTGGCCCGCGTTGCCGGCGGCTCAGTCTCGTCCAGCTCGTAGCTGACGCCGCTGGGCCGCTGTCGCTGCTTCTTGCGGTTGCCGAATTTGCAACGCGAACGGGCGCGTTTCGTGTGCGTTGCCGTTGGGGCGTGGCGTGTTGCGGCGGATGTTGCTGTTGCAGCTGTTGCTGCTGTCGCTGTTGTTGCTGTTGCTGCTGTTGCTGCTGTCGCTGTTGTTGTTGTTGTGGGCGCTGTGAGCGTTGTTGGTGTTTCACTTGGCTTGTGGGGCACCAGGAACTTGTGTTGCTCATCGGAATGTTGCTGCGACTGTGTTGTTACTGCTGCTGCTGCTGGTGTTGCTGGTGTTGCTGCTGTTGCTGGCAATATTTCGTGCACAGCAGCAGCATCAACTGGCACTGTGGGCGTGGCATTTAGTTTTTGCACCTGCAAGTCTGCCGTTTGATACTCATTGTTGTTCGTCTCGGCAGCAACTGTTGCTGTTGCTGTTGCTGCTGCTGCCTTTCGACTCTTGGCCGTTGCTGGCCTGGCCTTGGGCTTGGCCGGCTGCTTGCGCGCCTTTTTGGCCGGCGGCTCAACGCCAGCTGAGGTAGTTGACTGCGCTGGCAGCGTTGCTGCTGTCGTCGTCGCCAGCGACGCCAACACAGCGCTGGCCGCACAATTTGCCTGGGTTAGCGGCTTCTTGGTCTCCGACTTGGAGCGCTTCTCGCTTGCCAGCGTCGGCTGCGCCGGCGACTGCGACAGCGACTGCGGCTGCGGCGCCAGCAGCGGCGACGGTATGGCCGGCGCATAGAGCCCAACGTTGGCCGTGCTGCGACTGTTGCTACTGCTGCCGCTGTTCAGCTCTGGATCGCTGAAATAGCCACGCGTCAGCGTCGTATCCAAACTGTCCAGCAGATGCAGTGCGGCAATCGCTTGCTTGCGCGGACGCGCGCGCTTTGGCGAGGCGCTGGGCGAGCAACTGTTGGCCAGAGCCAATGTTGCTGCTGCCGTTGCTGTTGCCGTTGCCGTTGCTGCTGTGGCCTGGTCTGTTGCTGTTGCTGCTGCTGCTGCTGTTGTCTGTGTTGTTGCTGCCGTTTGCGTATGCTGCTGCTGCTGCTGCTGTTGTTGCTGCTCTTGCTGCTGCTGTTGCTTTTGCTGCTGCTGCTGCCTGCGCTGCTGCTGTTGCTCGCGACGCAAACGTTGCTGCCGCTGCGTCAGCAACATTTGCCGGCGCTTCACATATTTGGCCGGCGCACGGCCGTAGCGCCGCACGAACTTACGGCCCGGACACAGATATTTCTTTGGCTCCGCCTGCTTGATCAGACTCTTGTAGCTGTGCGGCTTTGACTTCTTGCCCTGCGTGGCCGAGGCAAGCAAATTGATGCGCTGCTTGGCAACATTGCTGCTGCCACTGCTGCTGCTGCTGCTGCTAGGGGGCAATTGTTGTTGCTGCTGCTGCTGCTCCTGCTCCAGCTGCTGTGGCTTTTGCATGTCCAAGTCGAGCTCCGGCTCCGTCTTGATTGTGGGCTTCAGATCGGGCATTTTGCTGATATGTGTGTTGCATGTTGCCGCCGTTAAAGCTGCCGAGGCAGCGGCAACTGCTGCTGCTGCCGCTAGCTCATCGTGCTCGATTTTGATTTTGGTTTCCGCTTTGATTTCTGCTTTAAGTACAAAAGGCAATTGTGGTTCGGCCTCAGCCTGTTTGCTGAGAAGCTGTTGCTGCTCTTTATGTTTCAGTTGCTGTTGCAGCAAGTGTTGCTGCTGTTGCTGTTGCAGCTGTTGCTGCTGCTGCTGCTGCTGCGCCGCATAGACCATCTCCCTGGCCATGCTCTTGCCAATGCGCGCCTTACGCGGCATCACAACAGGAGGCGGCGGCGTGCTGCCCGTCAAATCGTAGGATTCAATATCCTTTGCATGTTGCTGCTGCAACTGTTGCTGTTGCAAGAGTTGCAATTGTTGCTGTTGCTGCTGTTGTTGCTGCTGCTGCTGCTGCCGTTGCTCGAGCTCTAGCTCCAGCTCGTGCTCATGCTCCTGCTCCTGCTCCTGCTCCTCCAGCAACTTGTCGTCGCTGGCACAGTAGCTCTCCGGCGGAGTTGGCGGCGGCATCACGTGCGCCTCGTACTGCATTTTGGTCACCTGGCACTCGGCGTCGCTCTTAAGCTCCGTTTTGACCAGCATCTGGCATTGGGTGCCCATGTTGTTGGTGGTCGTTGTCGCCGATGTTGCAACTGAGGCAACTGTTGCTGTTGTGTTCGTTGCCGCCGTTGCCGTTGCCGTTGGCATTGTCGTTGTCATTGTTGTCGTATCTCTGCTAGTTGTCTTTATCGTATCGTTGTTGCCATTTTTAACTGGGCCTCTACTGGTAGTCAGCGCTGTTTCTGTTGCTGTTGCTGATGTTGCTAATGCTGCTATTGCTGTCGTTGTTATCGCTGTTGCTGCTAAAATATTGCTGCTGCTGCTGCTGGAAGTCAAGCAGTTGCTGCTGTTGCTGCCATCGCTGCTCGGCATGCTGCCAGGCACAAACATATTGCTCTTGCTCTTGCTGCTGCTGTTGCTGTTGCTGCTGCTGCTGCTGTTGCTCGTAGCATTCAGCAGCAAATTGTTGCTGCTGCTGCTCGTCTTGTGCATCGAACAATTGCTGTTGTGGCTGCTGTTGCTGTTGCTGCTGCTGTTGTTGCTGCTGCTGTTGCTGTTGCTACCAATATGAGGCCCAGTATGGACGTTTTTTGGACACGATTGTTGCATTGGACACGGACACTGCGGCGGATACTCTGTAATGGTTTAAAGAAAGAATCTCATATTAGTACTGGATGCCAATTGGATTTATGTTTATGTTAATCCCTCATAGCAACAGCAACTATTGGCAGACCTCTATGGAAAGACATTTTCTAATATCTGTTTAACTCTTTCTTTGCTTTCCATATCTTATAATCTATTTTTAAGAAAGAATTTCATATTCGTACTCGATTCCAATTAGATTTATGTTTATGTCACAGCAACTATTGAAAGACCTCTATTGGAAGACCTCTATTGATAGACTTTTAATGAAAAACATTTTCTAATATCTCATATTATGTTTAATCCTTTCTTTGGCTTCGATATCTAGTCAACCAGAACGATATTGAAATGAACCATTTACTCAAATTTGTATTCCTTGTTTATTGTCATCCAAATTTGTAGCATAGCCTACATTGAGAGTAATGGATCCGATTTTTTCTGTCTTAAGCTACAAAGTTTTACCATATAAATATATGTATATTGTATTCCTATTAGCAATTCTTAAGGGTTTTCATCCAAATTCCTAACGTAATCCCTAATAATTAACTAACTATCCTAATATAACCTATTCAACATAGAACTATATGTTCTATTTAATCTGTTACATTCCCATCATCACATCACACTTATCCTATTAGAATTATATATTCTCTATAAGAACCTTTCGCTCGCCTCTATAGAACTACTATTCACTGTTATTGCCTGCCTGACAACATTCCCGACATTGCAATTGGAAACACTCCATTTCAATCAGTTTGGAGGGCTCTACATTGATCTAGCATACGGGGAGGAGCAGCTCTAATCAGTTCTCTGGGTAACTGGGTGCATCTGTGGATTGGTTAGGTGGCAAGAACCATACTTTTCCTTACCCATATACGGACCCTGCAGACCGCGCGTGTAGCACTGGCCGGCGGCGCTGCCGCCTCCGGGACTGTATCCGGCGTAGTAGCTGGGCGGTCCCGGGTAATGTTCCAGGTGCTGTTGGTGCTGGTGGGCGGGCACCAGCTGGGTGCCAGCCGGGGCGGGCGTGGCACCGGCCGCTGCTGCTGCTGCGGCGGCGGCGGCGGCAGCTGCTGCCGCTGCGGCAATCGAGACCGGCTGCTGCTGCTGTTGCTGCTGCTGCTGCGGCGGCGGCTGGGGCACACCTTGGGGCGGCGGTGGCGGCGGTTGCTGTTCGTAAAGCTCCGGCGGCGGCGGATGCGGCGGCCCAGCGTGCTGATAATACGGATAGCGTCGATACGCGCCCGGAGGCGGCGGTGGCGGCGGATGCGCAGCCGGATGTGCGGGCGGCGGCGGGCCGCTCTGATAGACCTTGCTTGAGAAGTACGGCTGATACGCAGGCGGCGAATAGCACATGACCTCGCCCGGATACGGTGAATAATAGTTGGGCGGATATGCCGTCGAGTAGTGCATCTGGGCCGCGTGCATAGAGCGCGGATATGGCACGCCCGGATGACCGGCAGCGGCCGCTGCAGCAGCCGCCACGGCGCTGGCGCCCGGATACGGCTGTGGCTGTGGCTGTTGCGGCTGCTGTTGCTGCTGCTGTTGAAGCTGCTGTTGCTGCTGCTGCTGTTGTTGTTGGTGAGCTGCTGCTGCTGCCGCTGCTGCTGCAGCTGCTGCTGCCGCGGCTGACGACTCCTGCTGTGCCTGAGGCTGGGTCTGTGCGGCGCTTGTTGGATTTGTCGGCGATTCGTCCTCGCTTAGCTTCTTGATTGGCTGTGGCACACCAGCTGCCGCTGCTGCTGCTGCTGCGGATGTTGGTGTTGTCGCTGCTGCTGCTGCAGCTGCTGCGGCCGCCGCTGCGGCTGCCGCTGCCTGAGCGGCTGCTGCTGTTGTGGCTGACGGCGGCGGTGGCGCAATGACATGCGGCGAGATCAGCGGACCCGCCGGCTGATAATAACCTGCAATGGGCCAAACACAAATACAGAAATCAGTAAAAATTGTATTTCGTTATTCTTCTTCTTCTTCGTTTTGCGTAGCTGCTGGAGCTCAAGTGAAATGCGGCAACCAAGCATAAAGTGAAAGTTGGCTGGTTGGTTGGCCAAAAAACAACAAACAAACAAACAAACAAAAAAACGGCTAACAAAAACTAGTTAAGCCAGCCGCTTGGCCTCACGGAGGAGCACGAGCTGGTCGTGCAACAATCTTGGCCTAGCATAATACTACCAGCTACCCCCCAGCACCACCCACTGAACGCCCTCCCGTCACCCGTCACCCGTTTCCCAGCCCACCCCTTGTACCTCTTCCCAGCATGTGAGCCGCATACAAAATGTCGCGAAAATGATGCGCCGCATGCTGCTGCAGAAACGTAAACGACTCGGCTATGTTGGCCGCCAGCGCAGCAGCGGCTGCTGCCTCATCCACATTGGCGGGCAGCGTTGGCATCGTTACGGGCATCGTCTGCAACGCGGGCAACGTAACGGGCATCGTTGGCATCGCGGCCATTGCGGCCAGCGGCGACAGCGCCGATGACGATGACGATGACAGTGTGGAGCGTTCCGTTTCGCAGGTGCCGCTGCTGCTGGTGCTGCCGACGCTGCTGCAGCGCTGCTGCAAGTGTTGCTGCTGCTGCTGCTGCTGCTGATGCAGGTATTGGTGTTGGTGCAGCTGCTGCTGTTGCGCAACTGTTGGCGGCGATATGCGCAGCGTTTTGAAGAGCTCGCCGGACAGCGGCAGCAGCGTTGGTGATTTTTTCGTGGTCTCTTTTAGGCGCATGATGTTTTGTGTTTTTTATTTATTTTTAATTTTTTTTATTTAATTATATATATATATATATTTTTTTTTTTATTATTATTTTTTTATTATTATTTTTTTATTATTGTTTTTATTATTATTATTTTTTTATTATTATTTTTTTATTATTGTTTTTATTATTATTATTTTTTTATTTTATTTTTTTTTTTTATTATTATTATTAGTTTTTTTTATTTTACAATTTATATAGTTTTTATTTTTATAACTTATTTTTATTAGTTTATTTTATTATTTTTTGTATACAATTTTGTGTAGCTCACTTTGTTCTTATTTATATATTTTTTAATATATAATAATTATTTGTTTTATATTTGTTCTTTTAATTTTCCTTCTTTTTTCACTTTTTTCTTAATTTTGTTACTTTTAATTTTTTAATTTCTTTTTTTTATAAATATTTTTATTTTTTATAATTTTTCATATTAATTTATATTTTGTTCAATAATTATTGTTTTCTTTTTTTAATATATTTATTACAATAATTATTTTATTTTAATTTTAATTGCTGTATTAAAAATATATATGTTTGTTTGTTTGTATATATAGTTGTATATATGTATAATATTTCGTGTATATAAATGTTATTCACTGTTTTGTATATATATTTAGGTATGTATTTATGTACGTTTATAATGTCAACAAGGAAGTTTCATTGGTAAGGCAACTATTTCGTTACGTTTCTGTTTCGATACATTTCCATTTGATTTTGCTTTGCATTCATTTTCATATTTCCATATTTTATTTGCTATAAGAATAAATAGACATTTATATTATATATATAAATATATAAATCACAGACACAATTTCATTTTAGTATGTAGAACACAAGGCGAACGGCTCGTAAAACTTGCAACAAGGTTGTAAAATATTTTGTTTGGTTTCGTTCCTTTTTCATTTATTTTTCGCGTTTTTCTTTTGCTTTTGTTTTTGTTTTTGTTGTTATTTGGCGGTTCGGGTTCTTAAGGCGCGTTTAAAGCTTTTCGTTAAAGTGTTGTTGTGTTGTCCCGACATTAAAGCTAGCCCCAACTCTTAGCCCCATTGAATTGCACAGGAGCCAGCAGTGCAAAAGTCACCTGCTTGTTAAATAATTGATCAACCTGGGCGCCACCGAAGGGCGTTCCGTTGTCGGTTGCACACTCGTAAATACATTCAGGCATTATGGGTAAGCCACCGACAGGTGGCGCCAACCGACGTGCGGTTGACTGCAGTCCTATTATAGCTAGCCATATATAAATCCATAGGTACATAAATATACATATACATACATATATTCATATATATGTGTGTGTATGTGTGCATGTGCACGTGCGCGTGCATGTGTCTATATTTGTATTTGTCCCATTGACTGGCTTTGCATGCACACATACATACATACACACTTGCATGCATATGGCAATGCAGCAGCAACAATAACATACTGTTTTCGACATTTCTGCTCTCTTGCGCTCTTCTGTTACGCGCTCTCTGCACAGAAAAATCGAGAAGCCAAAAACACACAAGCACACGCACAGGCAGGCACACTCATACACGAAGCCGGCAGAACTTTACAGCAAAAAGCAGAAAAAAAAGAAACAACAAAATGTCTGGGCTACTTGCTAGGCGTGAACATTGACAACACGCTGACATCGCACAGTGGAAAAAGACTGCCGATTCCCAAGTGCAATAAAATTTGCATGTGAGATGCTAATTTAATTAAGTTATTTTCGTTAAGCATTTCTACTTATGTATGAATGATTAATACTAATACTAAAATAATTATTCAAATAACAATTATAATAATATTAACATTTTATTTCGCAATTTAATGCAAGTCATTTTCCTAACACAGAGACTAGTTTCTCTTTTTTATCCAACACTTTAGAATATCAAATAAATTTGTATATAAGTATACAAATACATATGTATATATATGTACATATATTGATAACGCTTCAGGCTTTGTTCTCAATGACTGCATTTAGCTGGCATTTCTTCCAGTGTGCAATGGCATCGACTACGACTGTAACAGCGGCAGCGGCAGCGGCAGCGGCAGCGGCAGAGGCAGCATGTTTAAAGGCACGTAGACAAACGCAGCCAGAAGTGGCGGCAACAATAAAAACTAATAGATAAATGAAAACAACAAAAACAAAACGAAGCAAGGAAAAAGCAACAACGCAGCGCACCGTTCTGCGTACACTCACATTTTATTTGGTTCTCAGCGCTATTCGCTTTGTGTTACTCCCACGGCTCGGCTGTCTGCGCTATGACGTCACACGACAACTATGAATTTTCAAATTACAACAATGATGCGCTGCTGTTGAAGCTGATGATGACGTTCTGTCAACGGCAACAACACCCACCCAACACAGCCCCGCCCCATCCCGCCCATCACTCAAATATACAGCCAGGTATACTATATATAGCTTTTGACATTCGGAAATACATTTACTCAGCTCATAAGCTCCAAAGGGCACTGAAGCAAGAAAGTATCGACAAAGAGGAGTGAGAGCGTAAGAGCGTGAGAGTATGAGAGTGCTGTGTGCATACGCATGCAGGCCACACATAGAAGTGAGTGAGAGAGACAGAGCGAGAAAGCAGTCAAACGAAAACTGTGAACGAGTCAGTCACTCGTCGTTTATGCTGACAGCTGTTCGGGGAGTTACAACGGTAGCTGAGCAGACTGAGTGGAATGGGGGAGAAGGTGATGGCGGCACTGGTGTTGGTGGGGATGTGGTTGTGGCAGTTGAGTGCCGCTGTCAGGTGTTATTATTTAATGTCGGCGCCTGTCAAATGCAACAAAATTATTTAAGACGCAAATAGACAAACAATTTGTCAAAGCTTGCACTTGACCTACAGCAGGCAGAGAGAAGGAAACAATGAGAGAGAGTGAGAGAGCGAATCAAAGCAGAGTTCAAAAGAGCGTAAACTGATTTCCAATAAGAATTCAGTATACGTTGAAGGCATTCTTATTGGTAAAGTGTTCAAATTATTTAAACTGAAAGCTTTTCAGTTGATTTTTAAAACAATTTTCCTTTCTCAGATATGTACATATATATATCTAATATTAAATACTATCTTAATTGATTTTCTGTTTCTTTTGATCTAGTTTCACGATATCTTTTATCTTTGCTACATTCATAAAAAAAGACGACGCAAAATACCTTGAACACCTTTTCAATTAACTAAAGCCGTGTGCACGGTTTGAGCCTTTAAATCGTTTTCTTTACGCTTGATGCTAACCCAGTTAGTTATCGCTAATGGGCCGATTATGAATCACGTGAGAACTACATAATGAAAATGTAATGAAAGCAAACACTTGAGGCGGCAACACATGTAAGACACCTTTAACATGGACCCAGCCAATGCAGACGGTGGGAAGGGGGGAGGGGCTCGTCCGTTGGGCAATTAACTAACTACGACTAAACCAATTAAGCGGCATGTTTGGGGGGGCGCAAGGGCCGCCACACTAAAGTGAATAATTACGCACAATTAAATGCACGCAAAAACGTGACACGCCCCCTCTTTGGGCAGCAGTAAATCGCCCAGTGGACCAGCTGTTGCACCTGTTGCATCAATGGGCAGCATCAGCATCAGCATCAGCGTGTGAAAGCCACAGCCTCTTTGTTGTTGCTGCATCCACGCTGCGCTCCTGCCGCTTGTTGCACTGTTGCACAGTTGCACCGTTGCACAGTTGCACCGCAACAACTTTCTCCTTTCACAGCCATCGAGCGACAAGCATTGGAATTTATAGCAAGCATCGATCGATCGCTGCTGGGTGAAAGGTAAGAAAAAAAAATCACTGCCTGC